ATGCGAACAAAGACGCGGGCGCAGCTGGTGCTAAACGGTGAACTAATATCGATACAGTGGTAACTCTATACTGTGACATTAAAACAACCGAAAACCGTAAATCGGCGGTGATTCATGCTCGCCGGGTACTAACGAAAGCCCCCAGACTTATCCGCACTATCGCCTGGTGTTATGTAACGTCGTAGATTATTGCATGATCTATCCAGAGATATGCAAATCGAGGACTTGGCAGCGCGGCTTACGGTGGCCGGGATTTCAACATTAACGCGGCTTTGTTCGCGGTTGTAGCCGCGGTCGCTTCGATCTCCTTATCTTCATGAGCGCCTCGTAGGAACGGAACTTGGGGATTAGACTAATGCCGGTGACCAGTGTTGGTTGTTTTATTACGGGCTACTTTTTTCGGTTCGCAACTATTCTTACATTTTAGTATGGGGCGCTGTAACATTAAGTAATGTTTTCAATTGCTGTATTAGTATTAAAATAAGATTTATGAGTAAGATGTTATCGAGCTTTTATTATATTTACTCATAAATTGCATTATTGTACTCGTATAATACTGGCAAACTATATTCGGTATCGATAATACTTATGGTCCATGCTTGTTCACTCTTTGCCTTTGAAAATTCTAAGACAATTCTAACAGCAATTTAAAATCGAAAACCCTGTTTTATTTCTGACAATTAAAATCCATGAACAATAATTTTGAGTGATTAATAAATTAGCAATATCTTTGAATAATTAATTTCTTTTCTTATTCCTAGAATTCTTATTTTAAAATGCGCGATAAAAATACAATAGAACAACTAGGTTTACAGAGATCAATTATTAGAAAACTAAATGATATTCGCGTAAAATCAAGAAAACAATAAACTAAATGATAACAAAATTTTGACGTCACCATGTCACATTAGCATGTCGGTGACGCCAACCACGAATTTTACCTCATACAAAATTACCCAACGTGCTTTCACTCAGAAAAAAAAATAGAATTGAGAATCTTGTCCTTATTTGAAGACGGTTGATAATAAAGCCCTCCAGTTTCTTTGACACTGCTCACACAATTTTTTTTTTCAAACTAACTTTTGTATTCATTACATAATTGCACTTAGCTAAATCGTTGGAAATTTCGGAAACAATATTAGGAAGGTATAAGACATCGCAACAAAGGGACTTGTGTGTCCAGCTCGAAGTAAATCTGACATATTGTCGTTTGGGTGAGCATTTTTATTTTTATCTCAACTCGATGGCCAAACTTGGTTTCTTAATATTAATTGAACACGGAACTTTAATGCAAACATGAAGAAATAAACTTTCTATTTGTTTATGATGTAAGCATTAGTGGATGATAAAGATGCGTCTATGGTTAGGGTAATTTTGATTTTACGGGGGTGATGAATGTAGAATACTTTATTAATAGCTTTTCGCCCGCGGCTTCGCTCGCGTTGAAGCACTTAAATAAATAACTTTCTTTAAAACAATTTTCCAATTAAAAAATTGCCTATGTCCTTTCTCAGGCTCTAGACTATCTGTGTACCAAATTTCATTTAAATCTCTTCAATAATTTTGGCGTGAATGCGAGACAAACAGACAGATTTACTTTCGCATTTATGATATTAGTATGGATTGCATCGTTCATTTTAATGTGTATGGATTAAACAGATATGTTAGCGCGGCCATGCGTTTAATTTATTTTTATGTGAGAAGGTCGCTATCTGTCGCTTTTTGGCCGTTAAGTGATAACCGCCGTCCACTGGCATTTGTACTATCCGTAGGGTTGCCCCCATTTAATAAAATGGGCCCCGGCTACGTCACTCACCAGACGAAACGCTGAAGTATAACACTTGCACATCACGCCGGTCTTCTATGAGGTCGTGGTACTTACCCGGACGTACCTGCCCATTCGCGCAACAGCGAAGACTGTTTCACAGCCCTGGCACAGTTAATTGATAGAAGAGACGCGTGTTCGCCATTCACCATTCGCGCAACAGTTTCAAGTGTTTTGCCTACTTTCCGTCGCTTTCGATTTCAATGACAACGTCGGATGTCAAATGCGTAGGACGAAATGGCGCTGGTGATCGTTGAAGTAGCGATTTTATGAAGTGGCCGATCTTGGTATCGAATACTTCAATAAATCATGCCGACTGTGCGTTTTCTTGAAGTCATTCATCTTTTGGTACGTTTGGAAAAATGATTAGAGTAATTTTTGCGATGCGTGCGCTCACCGAGCGACCCTCAAAGAGCGACTTGATACTTGGTAACCAATATAATTTTGGCAACCAACAGCTTTTTGACATTTACCAATAATTCCAAGTTATATAAATAAACCGTGACAATGGAATTTATTAATTGCAATTTCAATTGCCGCCTCATCACATAGCGGTAAACGAAAATATTATTAGGAAAACGTATATTTTCAAAATAATATAAATTATATATCGTAGCTATATGAACTCTCCAAATACCCGTTACTTTACATTTGTATGTAATTTTTATAATTTTTAATGCAAAAGTAATTTCGTTTCTTATTAATAAGCACTCGTGTTGAAATGCAAATTCAAAGGAGCAAGCGAACGTATGCATGTATTAACCGGTGATAGCAATCTGTTTTAGAGTTTTCATCAGCTCTCCGATGATTTCCCCGAAGGGTACGCCCTAGCGATATGGAGAGATCTCTGTCCTATTTAAAAATAACCCTCTAAAGACTGACCTAATCAACCAAATGGCTTAGTCAGAGTTAAGTTTGCCGCAAATTCGTAGTTTCACTACCGAACTCTAAACTCGAATAATAATAATATAGAGATTTCCGAAGGGAGCACGACATATTGTAGAGAAACTATTATTACGAATTTACTTTCTACGAATAAACAAAACAGGAATTTAAGAACAAAAATAAAACTCTGCTCCGCTCCCACCTTACCCTTCGTGGTTATTTTTTATGACCACCAAGAAATAGAAGCTGAATTGACAAATTGACAACAACAAAATGGCGGATTTCCATATTGATAATTACACTATTTCATTTTTTTTTTTTCGAAAACTATATGCGACCAGAGAATGTCTGCTTGTTGATTAATTCATTATTGATTTTTCTATAGATCTCGTTTAATTAATTTTAAATTAAATTAAATTAAAATTAATTTTAATTGCATTACGCGAACGTCAGTATCCTTTACATTTACTAAAGTGGTTATATAAAAGTATAGTAGATTTATAAAACATCCCAACGTCTGCTCGCAAATACTTTAATCACTGTTTAGTTACAATTAAGTGTTTAACGTTCGGAATTTCCAAATTCTATAGTTTAGTTTTCATTAATTTTAAGTGGCTTTTGCTAATTAGCAGAGTGTCCGACCGTCCTAATATAACAATAAATAATGATAATATAACAGACTGAATTAACCAGGACCTCTAGTTAGAGGCAGGTAAACAAAGCTCTCGTTTTTCTCATATTTTCCAACTCCTATTGTAAAATTGTTTCGGATTTCGCGTAATTTTTGATCGTTGAAAAGATCTGTTAGACGTAATGAAAATATTCCCTTTGTGCGACCAAAATATATTGAAGCTTTGCCTCGCGACGGGAATCATAAGGAGGGGAATAACGCGAAAAGTATTTTTCAATGCCTTTTTTCTTTGATACCGTTTCGAATGTACAAGTGTCGTGAAAGCTCGTGTTTTCGTAGTGAATAAGTATCATCGTAGCATTTCAAGCGTCAAAAAGCGTTGGATGTATAGGTACAGTTTTATTTTTCGTACATGGAATAAAAAATAAGTAAAAAAAATATCATGTATGTTGTGACGCCACATACATCTGTTCTGATAATTTTTAATTTTAATATAATGAATGAAACATACATAATTGTTCAATACTATAATATTTAAAAAAACCTTTAATAATACAACTTATTAATGTCAACATGGTAAATATGAAATAATGAATTTAAAACACAGAAAGTTATATGTTTTCCTTAATTGCTGTTTAAAATTTGTTTCCGAAACAGCTTCTTTCCTGTAATAAAATCTTAATCTTTATTTACTTATACAATGATCCTTTGTGTGCGATGTGACTGATTTCAAACTATTTAAAAACTAGTTGTTAATTCATCTGAATATAAAAACGTTAAATCATACCTATTGCCTCAAGGCACCTATTAATTTAGAAATATGGAATAGATTCAAACTTTGTCATCAGCCACTCAATAGACTTTTATTTCTAAATTAAACCGTTATCTCTGACAGGATTTACGCGTTCGTCTGATTAAGAAATGTTTAAATGTCGATCACAACTTTTAATCGAATATTATAGAAGGATTATTGTGAATTGTGGAACATTGATGCTTAATAAATTGATTTTTAACTAGATTTTAGTCGCTGATGATTTTAATTGGTTTGCGCTTGACTAATTGTGTTTTGATATGGAATTAAGTGGTGAAGGCTATCCTCCAATTAGTTTATGTTTAAGTTCCAAAGGCGTGAACCAAGGCTTTATCATTTTGTGGGATTTTTTTCTTTTTCTTTTTTATGACTGATCCAAATGCCTCGTCATCAATAGTAGCGGCTTTCGCCAAAGTTGGTGTTGAATTCTAAAGTGCTTTTTGCACTTTTCGAACGTACTATATATTTATGCTACGTAATCTCATGCGGAAAATTTGTAGGCAGATACAGCGCCCGGACACAGAGCCGTGATAGCTCATTGTCCGAGCGCTCGCCTTTAATTCAATATACTCGAGCAATCTGAGTTCAATCCCCGGTGCCGGCACCAATGAAATTGTTGAAAAAAACGGTGAAGGAAAACATCGTAAGGAAACCTGAATATTTTCGAAATAATAACAAAAAACTTTTTCATATATTTACATTTCTGTCATAATTACCTGTACATGCATTATAAAATAAATAAATAAATAAAAAAACCTGGCCTTTGCCCAGCAATGGGACATGTATAGTCTGATACTTTACTTTTACTTATAGATACAATGTAACCGTTAATGTCAATTCTTTCACAGAACGACTCTGACGATGAACAATGCGCTCTCAGCGAGCATTGGCAATACGAGAGGAAATCGAGGAGGTGGTCCAGGGTGGTGGAGATCACGCCACAAGCGCAACGGAGGCTCCAGGTGAGAATAGACTCTGTCTTTAACTGCGGTAGGGACCTGCAAGGGCCTATTCCGTTGCACGAATGACAGCCTCGAAGAAGTAACACGACCTCACAGAAGGCTGGCATGAAATGGAAATGTTGTACTTACGCGTTTCGTCTAGTTACTAACGTAATAGGGACTTTTAAAAGGTCCTCATTTGTACAGCCCTGTAGTCCCGGGCTCTAGAATAGGACTAAAGTATCTCCTGCCTGTCGTAAAACGCGACTAAAAGGGGACATGGATTGGCAGCAGCATGAAGTGACCTCGAGCTGCTGCAAGATGGCGAGAGAATCGGGGAAGGTTTATCCTCCTCCGAGGTGTGCTCACGCTCAGTACCGAGGGACACTGGTGCGTTCCGTAGGAGATCCCGGAGTTCCTCCTAAGGTACAGAAGGTGGCCACCGAGGAAGTTTTAGTGGGTAAGAACCCCACATAACCCTGTCACAGAATGACAGGGTATCTTACGAAGATTTCCCACCCCGATACCAAAAAAAGTCCTCATCTGTAACCAGGTGTTGTAGATATATACGGACAGTAGTAATCTCTTAAGGTCAGGTGCCGTTGCTAACTTTTACGTAGATATCTATGGGCGGTTACTACCGCTAATCACTTAAGATCAGGCTCGGTTGCTAACTTTTGCATAAAAAAATAGATCGCCTTTTGCTCTTTTGCTATGGAAAGGATTCCTAATTAATTAGAGTCACAAACATATCCGTAATTTTTGTATCCATTTAAGAATCAAATCAGGTTTTAAATAAGACTCAGAGATTAAATGCCGACCGGGGAACATTATCAAAAACTGAGTCGATCGATTTGTTTATATTTAATTCGTGATTGTATATATCCCCCCTTATGTCAAGAATCCTCTCCTAATAAAAGCATTTTTTTACTTTGTGGAAAATTTTTTCGTAACGTATGTATCTACAATTTGTTTGATAAAACACTACTGTTAAATAAAGACTCGAGTCAAAAGTTAGCACAATTTTTGTTTCATCGGATCTATACGTTAGCACCTTAAATGTATGTAATGTACGTAGCTCTTGGGGAAATGTTTACCGAATAGTTGTAATGTGCACATTATTATTATTGTACATGGTGTGTTCATTTAAACAATACTATAAATAAATGTATCAAAATTATTGTTCCTTTGAGTCTAAGAATAACATAATGGGATCAATTTATCAGTTTCAATATTATTATAAATTATAAAATATAAGTGTCTGCTATTTTTCGACTTGTTTTACACGACTGGTAAACCGTAATTAATTAATAACGAGTTTGAAACAACACTACTCTCCTATGCCAACATTTAACCTAAAATATTTGAAGAGCATACCATTCAGATATTAAACCTAATTATTTATCAATTTATAAAATATAGCCGAATAGGTTTATAATGCTTATTAATTTGTACCCGTTTATAGAAACTTGACGAGTCAATTTTTATTACAATGAATAAAAAATTTTAATCCGTTCAGATTTTCTCAATAGGGGCGTTTCGAACAGTCTCATGAATATTCAAGCTTTGACCGACTTTTCTGATGTTATATGGAGCAATGCTGAAACGGATATTATACGTGTTTCGCAAACACTACGTTATTTTGACAAAAATCTGTACATTTAAAATAAACTCGTGTTACAAAAATCCGTGTTCGATAATAATGAACGTTGAATAGGACATTTCACATTTAATATGTCTTCAAGATAGGGGACATCAGGTTTTAACATAATGCGAAATAGTACAAGAAAACCTATAAACTATTTCGTTCAGTCAATGTTACCAGTATGCGCCATTCGCAACATGGTCATCTCGCTAACATCTATTGGGTGCAATGTTCTGGCTTCTTTTCCTACATGGGACAAAATTTGTATGGGATTTGTGTGTTTGTGAAACCTTCCGAAACACAGGACTTATTCCCCGGTGTACAAATAATTTTAAGCTATAACCAACTTTTTCCGTAATAAATAAAACTCAAAGAAATTAAGTTTTCAAACTATAACAAACTATGATAAGTTGATAACGCAAACTTTGTTACTGACTAGACAAACTTTAATTTTATTTGCAACGTAATTTCCGTTAAACAAACATAATGAATAGAAGAACGGAATATTTCTTTTATGTGTATTAATTTAAATTTATTCAGCTCTTATGAAGCGTTATTTATATGTCAACGAGAGAGAAACTCTGCATTGATAATATTAGTGCCATAATTCTTCCAACCTCTTGTGCGAATGAAACGTTCCCGTAAATTAAATATGAGTACTTTCCTCTCACAATTAGGTAATAGCAGCTCGAGCGTTAGCAGAAAGAGAGGCAAGAGAAGCGAGGGGAGAAGTAGAAGATGACGAAGATGAGACTCTACCCACTATCAGGGTCGGCCTTGTTGACGCTGATGGTCACTACACTGATGTCGAGCCTGATTTGTAAGTATTTAGAATTATGTTTAAGTGTTAAGTATTCGATGTACATGCATACAAAGACAGAAATCAAAGAACCAAGTTCAACCAAAGTATAATCGCTTACTGGGCAATAACTTTTCTTTATAATAATGACCTACACTAGCTACCATTTTTATTATTGATGTTGATGAAATTGACTCTTATAAGATCTAATATTTTACCAACCCATCGGTCTCCTAAAATCCTCTAAAATTAAGACTGCATACGTGTAAGACTTTGTTATGTATATAAGTGCGTAGTTACGAAGATCGTACAATATATAAGAGTTTAATACTCGTCTATCTATATATGTTTCAATTATTTCAGAGTTACTAACCATTCCTTTATGATTATAACTTATTGTTTATATTACGTAAGTCTTCAAATCCTTCTACAATCACGTTCAAAGCTAATGTTTATTCAATCATACAGCTCAATAATATTGAAGTATCCCCCAAATCCCCATTGTAATTCGAAGACAGAGGTACCGTGTTCTATTTTTGTAGGCTCTTACTACAAAACTTATACGAAGGTAATTCCAAGCTACGGGTTCAGGTTACGAGCTTACTTTGACACCGCCCGTCGTAGGGGCACTCTACGAGAACTTAATTAAATTCTTTGTTGTAGATCTCACTAGTTTTCCTTCACTTAGTGAAGCAAATGGGATCTAGATTTTAGTCTTATCTTATTGAGACTGTTCGGTGATTAAACGCTAAGGAAAATTGGGTTTACTTTAGGGCTATTTTCTATCTTCTCTTCCGATTAATCTGTCAAATAAAAAACTTAGGGCGCAAAATCGTTTTATACGTTGATACAATGGAAAAAAAATATGTGTTCAAATAAATGTTTTTTCCATAGACATTCTAACACTATCACTTTCCTAAGAGCTAAAGTTACGAAAGAATCGATAAACAAACATTTGTTATTGGATATTAATAGTCGATATGATTATCTACATTCATAACGAGAGGCGTGCACCGAGTGAGTAATTTTAAGCCTCGTTACGGCCTTTTGTAATCAAAGCCAAAATTGAATACGCAACACTAAATCAATCAATGATCCGTCAAAAGAATTAATAAATTCCGAACACAAAGGGCCTAATCATTGGAGCCATCGTGTTAATGAACAAGTAACCGTTCTTGAATGCATCACGGATAATTGGCCCTCGATTGCGTAAGGGCCGATAGAGACGTTATACACAAAAGGCTGGGCCTTTCTTTTACGGCGCATCCAGCGCTGTCTGACCTCCCAACTAGCTTGGATCCTCGTTAGCGCTACGCCCAAAACCCTACGCATTGTTACCGCGGAGGCCAGCCCAGAATGGACGCGTCGGACATTATCTTAAAACAGTCGTCACTCTTGACGTTCACAGAGCTGCCCGTGAGATCTCACGTGTATAACCGAACTGTAATTGCAGACGAGGCGCCCGTCAATTCTAATGGGCGTCAGTAGTCGGCGTTGCCTCCAAACCACTCTAGCCGCCTGTTTAATATAGTCTAATGCCCGGTTCCTATATTCAACGAACGGCCGTTAGTTACATAGCTTCGTAACTTTCATAACGACCCTTTTTAGTCGCGGCACTTTTTAATAAAGATGGTCCCATTTTTGTGCCCTTAGCTCTACGAGCGGTTACAATAAGCCGTTAATTTTAATTTGCTTATTTTCGGGATGGTAACAAAAAAAACATTTCGAAAGCGACATAAGACATTACTGGTTTTTGTCATAATTTCTAATGCTGCATTATGTATATGTAATACAATACAGTGATAAAAACGCTACTTTAGAGTTCTTGTTGGTATTTTTATACGCCACTGTACCTGATAATAACACCGTAGTCTAATTCGTAAGAGTTACGAGCGACTATCGCCTGGCAGAGAGCATCTTTGGGACCGACGTGAAATTACTGTAATTAACTTGCACTATTTGTTCTACAAACAATTCGAGTGCCCAGCTCGCCTATCGCGGTACCATTACGGATTGCTAAACCGCAGGAAATGGTAATGATGGGCCGACTGGAGCGTGACTGTTGGCGAGTTTGAGCTTACGGGTGTACTGTGCATATAAAAATGATCGCGTAACCGTGAATCCAATGGTGTTAGAGATTACCTGATCGTTTAGTTCCTTGATTACCTGTTTGTCAAGGACTGTGCAGCGCTTTTATGCCTAGTGTAGTAACAATTGAGGCGTAGATTGTAAAAGTAGTTCGGTAAAAATGTATTTGTTAATTTTAATGAAGAATTCTAGAAAGCTCTTTAAGAGTTGCGTAGTTCTTAGTCTTGGTGATACAATTGCACGGGAAGACGTTGTGGAATAGTACTATATAATAAGTGTTTATATTGTTCCATAATTGGATTGATAAAAGGCATATTATGTCATGTTCATTATATTTCGTTCGCAATTCATTGGAAAGAATTTAAATATTTGAAGTGTTGTCTTTTGTTTCATGAACCCGAAGATTAAGAACATAAATAGCACTATATAGGGTAAAATTTAAATTAAAATCCGTCAAATTTATTCAACAACTGAAAATTGACAACAATATTCAAGTAGTTGATAAATAAATGAAGCTGTTTAAAATTCGCTTTTGTATTTTAAAAATTAACATTGTTTGTGACCACAACTCTACCGCCGATATTGCGTCAAGCGTAATAACCCACATTCGAGGCATCGATTTTCGGAGCATAAAGCTCTTAACGGATGATTAATCATCGGTAAACGTTAATAATTTCACGTGCGAAGTGCCAATAACGGAACGAGACTTCGACACGTTGAATGCAACACTTTGATGTCCGCGCAGTATAAATTAATACGTCTACTTCGATTGCTTTTCGGAAAATTTATATACGTACGTAAGTCACGAGTAATTCTCGACGTCGATTTATCTCAGTCAATAACGTTGAATTACGTTTATAAGAACGTTCCCGGTGTCCTATCTCGCGCCGTTTATCTGCGGTCGAGGGTTTCAATTAAAATGCGTAAAAAGGAATGGTGTGATCGGCGTAAGTAACGCGAGAGGCGCGACGTTAAGTGAGGTAAACGAAATTTCGGATGACGTTTCAATTCGTGCCGTAAATTTATACCAACTCGTTTACTCGCCACACCTATGTGCTTCTTCCCCGAATAACATGTGTTATCTTTAATTTATAAGAGGCCTGCATAAACTTGCTGAAATACAGTGCTGCCCACATAAGAAAAGATCTCATGTTAGCCAGATGCAGCATGCTAAAACTATTTGCCTAGCGCAAGATAATTAAAATACTTTTTAATCTTTAATGTCAAGATATCATGGTCAACTACATAAAAGTAATCAATAATAATAAATACATAAATAAAGCATTAAAACTTGTAGAAAAAGTGCATAGATTAGCACTATAAAAAACTTTAAGAATAAATAAAGCAATAACATTACATAATCAAATTTCTCACTTTTGGATTTAAACCACGGCATAATAGGTCTTCATATCTTACTCTATGTTTCACTGGTATTACCACCGCCTGCTCATTTTCCAATTTCTCACATAAAAAAAACTAGGTCATACTGAATAGAACTGTGGGACGATCTCAGGAGTTCGATGCATATAGCTGGCTCAGGATTGTGTTTCGAGACAATCTGTGGGGCAGGCCTATGTCCAGCTGTGGACTTGAGCAGGCACAATAGAATAAAAAAATGTGCATTCACCATTCAGTCATATCGCTTTGGTGTTACAATAGGTTCATATTGTCCATACTCCTATCCGTGCAAGAGCCGTGATAGCTCAGTATCCGGGCGCTCGCCTTTATTTCAATATACTCGAGCAACCTGAGTTCGATCCCCGGTGCCGGCACCAATGAAGTTTTTAACTTTAAGTGCTGACTTATCACGTGCTCCGCGGTGAAGGAAAACATCGTGAGGAAACCTGCATATTTTCGAAATAATAACAAAAAAATATTTTTCGAAGATATGTGAAGTCCGCCAATCCGCAGTGGGGCCGCGTGGTGGACTATGCCCTGATACCCTCTGTACAGAGGAGGCCTTTGCCCAGCAGTGGGACATGTATAGGCTGTTACTTTACTTTACCTTTTTATACTCCTATCAACCGACTTCAAAAAAGAAGGAGGCTCTCAATTCGACTGTATTTTTTTATGTTTGTTATCTCAGAAGTTTCTACTGAATGAACCAATTTTGATGATTCTTTTTTTATTAGAAGCTAGTGCTTCCTATGTGGTCTCATATTAATTTCATTGATCTTGGGCTCCGGATGCTTAGGGAACTCCTGACAATCAATTGTAGAATGAATGCAGAGCGAGATATTTGAAGTCGGTTTAATTTTTCGTTAATAAAAATGTGGTTTTGTTTCAAATATAAAGTACTTTTACACGTGCCATTATCGCATTCAATTTTCAATTATTTATCAGTATACGCCGGGGAAAATGGAAATCCCTTGAAATAAATCCGGAGCGAGATAGGGGATTTGTTGAGCAAAAGGAAAACATTTTCAAGATGCCGATTTTGAAATAACATGGAAACGATTATACTTTGGTTGATTTACTTAATATTATTATTCGCCGTGTTTTTAAAGTACCAAAACAACCTACCCGATTCATAAATAGGACTAGGGAGCTATTTGACGTTAGTAAAACCAGCTAGACACAAAAATTACAACCAAAGAGATTTTACTATAACCTTATACAAAATACCAGAATACTTTTTCTTCAACCCTTTATTATTAACAAACTTTATTATAGATTTAATTTACATAGGGCAAAATGTTATATCTAAGCTTCCCTTCTAGGTGCTATCTTTCAAATTGCTTTTGAAGAACAAACTTTTGCACTTTTGTCGCTAACGGTGTTATAAGCTAAAAACTGAAACTCCATTGTAAGTCTCAGCCTTTTACAAAGTTAGGCCAAACTTTAAGAAGATACACGAGTGGCGGTAATAATTACGTCAGCTCCCCGAGGTTTAAAGTGACAAACCTTTGAAAGTTTAATTGGAATTACATTGTTTTCATTTCAAATCTTGAAAAAGAACGATCAAAAAGTAAATACCAACTTAATGATGGTGTTAAATACTTAGAAATTACGAGTAATTTTATCCACAATGGCTTGTAAAAATTTGAGATAACTTATTGATTGTGGAATAATTTATATCGAGTTAAATGCTATCTTGGATCATAACAGTCTTTTATTAGTAAGTTTTCGTTTCACTCCGTGAAAAAAAAAATACCACACTTTCCCATGCCAATCATACTATGGACCTTCAATCTATTAATAAATCAATGTCCGTTAGCTGGTTAGTTAATTCCACTGAAGTCGAACGACAGAGATAGACAGGCTCTACGCAGTCCGTGGTTTATAATACGATTCGAAATTGCCCCAGGTTGACAGTGCCAGGCCAGCAGATACAGTTACCAAGCGATAAGGAGGACGAGGAAGAAACGGGCACCAGGTTCAGACGAACCGGTTCGGAGAGGCTGCGCGACGGCGCGAAGGCGCTGCTCCGGCGCGTGGAGTCCTTAAAGACGCGCCGAAGGAAGCGGCAGAACCGCACCGAGGTCATCGTCTCCTCGCCCCACTTCCTCGACGTGCAGCAGGACAAGTACCCCGACCTGAGCTACATAGACATGACCCCGACCTCCCCCACGGCGTTCCCGTTCCCCGACTTCCACAGCTCGCCCGCCCACGCGCCGGCGGTCAGGACCCAGCCCCCCTCGCCCATGACGATCATGCCCCCTTCGCCCATCGCCCCCCTCGAGCAGTCGTTCGTCTTGCACGCGCCCTTCGGCGATGACAGCTCCAGCTACGCCTCCGACGGCAGCATGGGCTCCAGCAACAAGAGCTCGAAGTCCAAGCTGGGTAGGGCGAAAAGGATCTTCCACAGAGGTCTGAAGAGCGACGACTCCAGCGCCCTGAGCGACTCCGAATGCCAACCGGCGAGCTGGAGGCACAACTACTACAAAGAGCTCAATACTCATCAGCATAACACGGAGGTGAGTCATCTGACGAACTATGATCATTGTACGGCGTCATCGTATGACCGATTCTGTCCGATCATGTAGCCGTATTAATCGTTGGGATTTTTATTGATCTATCTAAACAATGATTACTAGACTGACTATCTATATACTTACTTTAAATTAGACAGCGTGACGCTTGCTGTGCCAAAATTAGAGTGTAATTACTACAAAATAAACTGTAAAAAGTAGATGTGTTGGTGTATTTACTTATTGGTATACTTACAACAATATTATGATACAAATTATCGACCAACACACAAATCTACTAGCATCTACTATCAATTGCATCATAACTTATAGGTGAGCGATAAACAGAGGACAAAATTAAACTATAGTTAAGTAGGATCGCGTTCGGAGATAATTAATGAAAGTGTGTTCTAGGTTTACGTGGAGCCCCCTTCGCCCGTGGAATTGAAGCCAGACCCGGAGATCTTGTGCGAGGTGCAGAAGTCACCGGGCCACACGCCACATCGCCGACAGGCCATAAGGACCAGCTCCCTGAACCTGGGGAAAGAGGGACAAAAGTAAGTTATAAACAATCCCTTAGTCAAAACAGCAACTTACCTAATCCGTTCAGTTCATTATATATGTTCATAAACAAAGAAGATTCTGTTTTATTTATTCTAATATTTATAGATGGTATTATAAAATATATTTTTTATAACCTGGGACCCAAAGAATCACTAAGAAATTTGATCCAAGAAATTGAAATATGTACTGTTGTTTCTCAGTAAATAGGAAATGAATGATATCTATATCCGAAAATGAGAATGAATTTTCAAGACACGGTAAAGACGCTTTAAAATTTCCCCTTTCAAAAATTGTATTAAAATAAATTAAAACAAGTGTTGCCCGTCCAAATTTACAACATAAACATTATGCCCCACGACTATTGTTCTCGTAGGATATTTTCCATTTTCGCATAGTTTAAATCAACGTGTTCATCCGTGTGTACCGCGCGGGTACATATACGACCTAAATGCAAGCCCGAGCGTACGGAATGGGCTGACCGAAGCTTATCTATTGAACCGTGGGCCTTCACTGTCCGCCGATAAGCCCTTGTATTTCGGCCACCGACGCGTTGAACACGGCACTAAATAAAATCGTCACCTATATGTTCGTTCACAACGCACTATTGGTTAAAGTAGTAAAGTAAAGTCAGCCTAAAAATGTCCCATCGCTGGGAAAATCGTTCACCACGCACTATTGATTTGAAGTTGTAAATGTCCAACTTCTGAACAAAGGCCTCCTCCGTACAGAGCGTATTAGGACATAGTCCACGCGACCCCACCGCGGATAGGCTAACTTCACATATATGAAACGTTATAGTTTTATACTTAAGGGTGTTCTAAAATTATTTGTTTTGGAAAATTTGTATATATTGATGTTTAAAGAATGTAAATGTTTAATACAATTTTAAAAAGTTACCCTCTATATGTGTGTTCATTTATTGTCGCGATGGTAACGATACGCTGTATATTTGTGTATGTATATTTATATAAATATTAGTATACGTGTATATTTATAAAGTGATAAGATGATAATATATAAAATATTACAATTTTTTAATTATAAAATATTACAATTTTATATGTTATCATGTTTTTCACTATATCATCTGGCCCATTCGCACCTCCTTATTCCCTCTGTTTATTTGTCGGTTGTCTGGTGAGAACACCTAATGGTGTTAAGTCCGCCATTGTGCGTTACTGTTCATAAAGTTTTTAAATAATATAAATAAAAGCCTCATCCAGAAAGCATTGTGCTTACTTCATTCTATAATCATTAGACTAGTGTTTTGCCATTCCCACCAATGCGCTGTTACTTTTTTGCTGCCCTCTCTAAGTAACAACAAATAACTGTAACAAGTATCGGCCGTAGGGATTACTAAGTTGAATAACGACAACGCCAACTGGGCTTCATTAAAGTAAACGAGTGTTTCGCGCATAATGTACCGACATGAGGGATACTTTACATATGGTAATTACGCGGTATGGACACGGGACTGATGTTCGTCGTTTGTCGGAGCTTCTTATTGCGTATGGCTTCGTTCAGTCGAGCTAAATGTCTTAGGCGCGGTCTTGATGTAATTAATAGTTTTAAATTTGCGAAAGCAACGCGGCAACTTTTGCTTCATGAATGGGCGTCGTCAGAGTATATACCTAATTGAATACTGGCGCAAGTTTGTGTGTTTTTGAGTTTTCTTTTGTATTTGAGAAGCTGATGGGAAGCGTGCTGGCGGTTGACCTGATAGTGGTTGCGGATGCGTTGCTATCTTTTAATAAAGTAAGCCCCGGTTACCTCACTCAATAGACGAATCGCAGATGTATAAGACTTCTTATTCACGCCGGTCTTTATGAGGTCGTGGTACCTCCCCGTATGGACCTGCCCATTCATGCAACAGCCAAGACTTTTTGTTTTTTTTTTTTTTTTTTTTATTTAATTTTTTTTTTTTAAAACACTGCCCTTACTTTAGGATAATGTTATCCTGTGTTGTAAAGGACGTTTTACAAACATAAATTTCACGCGGACAAACACCCAGATGCGAAACAACTATCTGTGGGTCACACAAATAGTTGTCCCGTGTGGGAATCGAACCCACGACCCCCGACGCCGAAGCCAATAACTTGGCAACTGCGCCACGTAGTCAAGACTTCTGCGTGGTCTAACCACAGTTAATTGTGTTTCGTCTGGTGAGTAAATTAACTGGACTCCAACAGCCTTCACTTTATTGTTGGAAACTTACTTGCAAACACAATGGACGCTATCGATGTCCATAAGCAGTTATCGTCAGCTGCTTATGGAAATATTTATATTAAAAAAATCATGCCGACATTATCGGACCGTCAAACAACGCTGACTGCCTTTGGACCGTGAACCCAGGAAATTAATGGTAATGTCATAAAAGATTAAAATAAAATTAAACTCGATCACAGAAATTGAAAAGCTATCACACACGAAACTATTGTTTAGAATAGAAGCGAGGCGTCTGTTTTGCTTATATCCAATTGTTAAATGTTGTTTATAGATTCCGGGACAGAAGTCTAAAGCGGGACAAATCAGCCTCCAGGAGTTCTGAATTGGACAGTAGTCCGAATTCCGCGGGCTCACGGTCACACGACGGCGATCAGGATGATGACGATGACAGCTTAGATTTAAAGTCGAAAAAGTAAGTGGCAAAAACATTATATATATGGTAGACATGCTTACACACTTGGTCAACCAATTTTGCACATCAAGGCCACCTCAATAAAGAGGGTATCAGGGCATAGTCCACCGCGAAACCCCACTGCGGATTGGCGGACTTCACATATTTTCCGAAATATATTTTTTATTATTTCGAAAATATGCAGGTGTCGAAAGAGGTATCGAGTGAGATGGCGATGTTTTCCTTCGCCGCCGAGCACGTGATAATTCAGCACTTAAAAACTAACAATTTCGTTGGTGTTGGCACCGGGAATCGAACTCAGGTTGCCCGAGTAAATTCAATTAAAGGCGAGCGCCCGTACACTGAACTATCACGGCTCTTATTATCATTATAATGGTACTAAATTATAATCCGTTTAAATTCGCGTGTCTTTTGACATATTTAGGGAATATTCACTTAATAAAATATTCCTAAACTATCATGCACGCAATACACCAAAGGATTATTTTAAGAATCATTGCAATATTGTTATCCTATCTCGTTCGTAGGAACAACATACAAAGGTGGTATTCGTTCAGAACGAACACGCTCAACGGCGGGCCCAAGGCGAACAACACACTGCAGCCGGCACCGAACCAGAAAGACCCGGAAAACTACCGTAAGTAGACCTCTCCGCGAGCGCTATACCCCATGAAGATTTGTATGTACGATCTACGGACAATAATCGCGAACGTCATTCAAAGATGGTGGTAGGGCCACGCAGCAGCCTCGGCTGTTGCACGAATGGGCAGGCACGTCCGGGTAAGTGCCACGACCTCACAGAAGACCAGCGTAAAGTGGAAGTATGACAAATACTTTCGCGTTTCGTCTGGCGAGTGAGGTAGCCGGAGCCCAATTTTCAAAAGGTTGTCAACGCATCTGTAACCCTCGGGTGTGGCAGATGTCCATGGGCGGCGGTATTCACTTAACATAAGGTGAACCGTTTGCTCGTTTGACAACTTTTCGCATTAAAAAAAAAAAGATCCAAAAGTCACCCGTTGAGGTCTTGAGGGTTTGCTTTAACATAATTTTGTAAGAGACACCACAATGAAAAAAAACAAATGACAATCGCACAGATTAAAAGTGAATCCCAGAGAGTTAAATTTTCGAATTCTCTAATTCCTTATTTTTATTGCTTATTGTAAGTGGCCATAAAAATGGTGTTACAGGCGAAAAATGTGAAATCGTTTCCGAACTGTTATAGCAGCGAAGTTAAAAGAATACTGTTTCTCCCGCCTCCCTCGTATTATCGACTATAATTTATAGTTAGTTGGTTCTATTTCCAAAGTTTTACTTTTATTTGCCTTGTTAGTCAAATGTATGATTGTGGAACTATCATACGATTTACTCTTTTAATTCCGATCTTAGGTATTTGAGAGAGTAATTTATTTTCACCAGTTACCACGATAATTTGTCATCGGTTATAAATGAAGGCATTTTTTAAAGTAATTCTTTCCATATTCTATTTCATTTTTCATTTTTATTTATTCAGATTTAATTCTTAGGACCGTCAAAAGAATTATTAGAATTATGTGAACCAAATAATAATATACGTTCAAATGGAACGCTGATCTTATAACAGGGAATTTTATCGTTGCGTTTGGAGACTACAACTGAATATGTGTATTAATTGCCAAACAACTGGGTCATATTCCGAATTAGCAGAATTAGCCTTAGATCTAAATTACTGAATTTCACGTATTGTGTAAATATTTTCCCTCGCGATGTTTTCCTTTGCCGCCCGTTGAGTTACATGCTGGGCCCCTGTCAGTAACGTCAATAGACAGTCGACCATAGATAAATAATTATTTAGACAGAGTAATAAACAGACAAGCGAGAAATATCGTAGTGATGGATATCCTAAAGGAAAACTGAAACGCTATGTAAACGTTAAATTTCATTCGTCAACAAGTCATAACATTTGAGATGAAAATAAAATATTAATGTGTCTGTGTATATTCATTTAGATGGTGCTTTAGATTTGCTGTCATAGTAAATTGTATCAAGCGTTTTTCTTTTTATTTTATCTCTGCTTATTCTATATAAAACCGGATTTAATTATTATTATAGCGTCATCATAAATTAACAAATGTGAAGAAAAGCCTATACAGTATGTATGGTTTTTTTTTTTAATTCAGGTGTATTTAACATATTAAAAAAAATCTTTAAAAGTCATTTAGACTGCACCGAGTACTTCTATAGTTAAATAGAATTATCTTATAACGTTAGTTCATAGTGATTTCTAGGCACCAACTGAAAAATTTGCCACAATCAATTAGAATTAGCAAGTTGTTAATTAGATATAAATTAAAATTACGTTGGTTGGTAAGTAAATCAGAATCTTTCCTCCTCTCTCTCTGTGTCCTTTATCTCTTTCTTTCATTAAAACATGTAGAAAAAGTACGAAAAGATTGTCGCCGCTGTGGGAATCGAACCCACGTCTTCGGCATTCGCGGCCTGACGCTCTAGCCACTGAGCTAAACGGCTGATAGCCACAGCGATGAAAATCTTAACGCCTTCTTTCTACATTGTTATTTAGCATTTGAAGCAATGCTTGGCGCATCTATTGTTATATCCTTTCCAGCATACAAACAATTTCGAATATCGTTTTACAACGATAATTCGAACGAGAGATGTCGCCATTGCTTTTATAAATTTTAAAGTTTTTTATAGTGCTAATCTTTGCACTTAAGATTGAACATTAAAACATGTAGAAAAAGTACGAAAAGATTGTCGCCGCTGTGGGAATCGAACCCACGTCTTCGGCATTCGCGGCCTGACGCTCTAGCCACTGAGCTAAACGGCTGATAGCCACAGCGATGAAAATCTTAACGCCTTCTTTCTACATTGTTATTTAGCATTTGAAGCAATGCTTGGCGCATCTATTGTTATATCCTTTCCAGCATACAAACAATTTCGAATATCGTTTTACAACGATAATTCGAACGAGAGATGTCGCCATTGCTTTTATAAATTTTAAAGTTTTTTATAGTGCTAATCTTTGCACTTAAGATTGAACATTAAAACATGTAGAAAAAGTACGAAAAGATTGTCGCCGCTGTGGGAATCGAACCCACGTCTTCGGCATTCGCGGCCTGACGCTCTAGCCACTGAGCTAAACGGCTGATAGCCACAGCGATGAAAATCTTAACGCCTTCTTTCTACATTGTTTATTTAGCATTTGAAGCAATGCTTGGCGCATCTATTGTTATATCCTTTCCAGCATACAAACAATTTCGAATATCGTTTACAACGATAATTCGAACGAGAGATGTCGCCATTGCTTTTATAAATTTTAAAGTTTTTTATAGTGCTAATCTTTGCACTTAAGATTGAACATTAAAACATGTAGAAAAAGTACGAAAAGATTGTCGCCGCTGTGGGAATCGAACCCACGTCTTCGGCATTCGCGGCCTGACGCTCTAGCCACTGAGCTAAACGGCTGATAGCCACAGCGATGAAAATCTTAACGCCTTCTTTCTACATTGTTATTTAGCATTTGAAGCAATGCTTGGCGCATCTATTGTTATATCCTTTCCAGCATACAAACAATTTCGAATATCGTTTTACAACGATTCCCACAGCGGCGACAATCTTTTCGTACTTTTTCTACATGTTTTAATGTTCAATCTTAAGTGCAAAGATTAGCACTATAAAAAACTTTAAAATTTATAAAAGCAATGGCGACATCTCTCGTTCGAATTATCGTTGTAAAACGATATTCGAAATTGTTTGTATGCTGGAAGGGATATAACAATAGATGCGCCAAGCATTGCTTCAAATGCTAAAATAACAATGTAGAAAGAAGGCGTTAAGATTTTCATCGCTGTGGCTATCAGCCGTTTAGCTCAGTGGCTAGAGCGTCAGGCCGCGAATGCCGAAGACGTGGGTTCGATTCCCACAGCGGCGACAATCTTTTCGTACTTTTTCTACATGTTTTAATGTTCAATCTTAAGTGCAAAGATTAGCACTATAAAAAACTTTAAAATCTTTCTTTCATTGATCAATGTTTTCAACCGACTTTATAAAAATAGGATATTTTCAATTTGTTTATAAATTATTTTTGCACCGTGTTTTATGCAGCGGATGTTGTCCCATATAAATTTTATTGGTATTGGAACTTTGACCTATGAGTAGATCAGAGAACTCTTCAAAATCAAGTAGAAAATGTATAGCGACTGAGATATTTGAAATCGGTTTTGCTTTTTGTTACTAAAAAAATACTTATATAAGCACGTAAGAAGTTACACTTCTTTGGCGTAAAAAAAATAAATAATCTTAATTAAATAACTTATCGGTTACCACGGCAACACAATGGAGTTGGTGTCGCTTTAAGGTGTCGCGTATCGTAAAAATTGTCTAATCATTTATCCAAAAACGAGCCAAAAGAAGTATAACTTTAAAAATGTTCTATTTGTGCAGTTTCCCGTCCTATGTCATCGCTGTCGTGCGGTCAACTGCACATCCTGAGGAAGCTGGCTCTATTGCGGCTGACCGCATGTATGGAGCGCTACTGTCCTTCCCACAAGTCCGGCTGGAATTGGGAACTGCCGAAGCTCATCAGGAAGATCAAGACACCCGACTATAAAGGTACTCTCACGTCCCATCAGCTAGTTTGTATAGTGTTTTGTGTGGAAGGGTTTTAGTCCCAAAAACCACTGTGATCTAGAAGATCTATTGTCAGCGCTGTATTCTCGGGCTCATAGAACAGGGCTAAGCTATCCCGGCGTGTCGTAAAAGGCGACTAAATGGGCACACAGATTGGGACACAGTGCGAAGTGGTCTCGAGCTGTTGCAAGATGGTAAGGGAATCGGCGAAGATTTATCCTCCATAAAAAAAAGACTAACTGTAATATAACATTATCCTGTGTTGTAGGGCGTTTTACATACATAAATTTCATATGGATAACCAGAACCGAAAAAATTGTTTGTGGGCCACACAAATAGTCTCCTGTGGGAATCGAAACCACGACCCTCGGCGCTGAAGTCAATACAAACATTATCAATATATAATATCAAAAATGTGTTACTTAGCAAACTTTTAATCTGGCTGACGAAGGTTAGATAAGTTGTAGCTTTGTTACAGCACTAAGACATTTGTAAACATCTGATTCTCTTTAACAAAAACGTGGAAGATATAAGAACGTAGGCTATGCAGACTAAACCAAACACACTGACTCGATATCTCTTCCTTGAGTCATTGCCATTAACAAGGCACCTCACTTTCAGACAAGACGGTGTTCGGCGTGCCTCTGACTGTATCGTTGCAACGGACCGGACACTCACTGCCCAAGCCAGTGCAGTGCGCCCTCAACTGGCTCAAAGAGAACGCTTTGGACCAGGTACGTCACTAAAAATACTATAACATCGCCAGAAATACTATCCATTAGATTCAAAGTTAGAAACAACATAATTTTGTGCAGGGTCTCAAGGAGGTTGACCACTTTGTATGTCGAAGAACTAGATATTTATCATTCAAAATAACTTAAGATTTAGCTTTTAATGAATTTGTTTTTATGAAGTTTAAATGCCGATTATTTTGTATTTAGCAATGAAAACAATGTTTGATTCTTAATTTATATATGATGAAATTTTAAATGATATTTAAGTCACAATTTAAAAGCATAAAAATTTTTACTAATTAATTAATTTCAGGCAGTTACGAACTGTACTACCGATGGGAAAAGTTGATACATACGCGACAATTTTATCTCAATGAAATGTTTTCTTCAATCATAAACTACGGCTTTACCAAATCTAATCAAATACATGCTAATTTAAGTAAAAACTTAATTTCAATTATTGAAGGGTAGGTCATTAAATATGAATTTCATGCACATTGTAATTAGTATCATCTGTCATCGTCGTTTATTCATTGACTAATTGCAATATAAATGATAATAAGATTTAGAGCTATTACCAGCATTCAGGATAAAATTTAAATTGCTTCTCCATTTCAAAAGCATTTGTTGTGTAACACTAAACAAAGTATATGTCTAGACGACATTTGCAACATTGACATATTTGGGCTGGAGCCCAATTTCCAAAAAGGTTGTCAACGCATCTGCAAACCCTCGGGTGTAGCAGATTTCCATGGTATTCACTTAACATCAGGTGAACCGCTTGCTCGTTTGGTAACTTTTCACATAAAAAAAAATTCATTAAAAAATTAAAGTAACAGCCTATACATGTCCCACAGCTGGGCATAGCCTCCTCTGTACAGAGGGTATCAGGGCATAATCCACCATGCGGCCCCACTGCGGATTGGCGGACTTCACATAACTTTTAAATAGTTTCTTTTTGTTATTGTTTCGAAAATACTTCGTTTACCTTCGAAATATATATTTTTTGTTATTATTTCGTATGCAGGTTTCCTCACGATGTTTTCCTTCACTGAGCCAGCGTCCGGACAATGAGCTATCACGGCTTATTTAATAAATCATGGGAATCACGTTCGCGCAGACTGATTGTGCATATGTTGACTTCCAGATGGGCATATTTCGCAAAGCGGGCGTCAAGTCGCGAATCGCGAAGCTACGAGCTATGGTGGAAGCGGCGGGAGCAGCTAATGCCGCCTTCGCAAGCGAAAATATCAACGTAGAAAGGTATAATTAGATTAGATGTACCAACAAAAAGTAATGGAGCCAGTCTAACCCAAAAACAGTTAGACGTAATTTCTATTTCTCGTGACTAAGATATAAGAGTAATCAAGTTTTTGTCAACATTAATGAGAACTAAATAAAAATCGTTCGGTGCATTTTTAATGTACTGCACCAACAAAATCTTTTCAGATTTCTTCGTAGTTTTTCATTGAATCCCTCATTGTCGTTCACCTTTGGCTTTTTTTTCATTTTCGGTTTTTAAAAACATTACCCTTACTGTAGGACAAGATTATCCTGTGTTGCAAGGACGTATTAAGACACATTCAAAACAACTTTCTGTGCGTCACAGAAGCAGTTGTCCCTTGTGGGAATCGAAATCATGACTCCCGGCACCGAAGCCAACACCTTAACAACTGCGTCGCAGAGTCATCAACCATCAGGCCATTATTTACAGTAGAACAGTTCCAGTTTCCATCGAAATATTTCGAAAATGTACCAGTTTCTTCACTATATTTTCTTTCACCACTGAGCACGTGGTAAGTCAGCACTCAAAATCAACAGTTTGATCGGTGCCGAGGATTGAACTCAAGTTGCCCGAGCGTATTGGATACCAGTACCCGAACAATGATCTACTTCACTACGTGGTATAAAACAAAGCCGTCCCCCTGTCTTTCTGTCCCTATGTATGCTTAAATCTTTAAATTACACAACGGATCTTAATGCGGTGTTTTACTAGATAGAGCAAGGTTTATGTATATAATACCAAACATTTTCACGGTGGTAGGGCCACGCAGCAGCCTCGGCTGTTGCACGAATGGGCAGGCCCGTCCGGGTAAGTAGCACGACCTCACAGAAGACCAGCGTAAAGTGAAAGTATGACAAATACTTTCGCGTTTCGTCTGGTGAGTGATGTATCCGGAGCTCAATTTTCAAAAGGTTGTCAACGCATCTGCAACCCTCGGGTGTATCAGATGTCCACGGGCACTTACCATCAGGTGAACCGTCCGCTCGTTTGGCAACGTTTCACATAAAAAAAATGTACCCGTGCGAAGCCGGGGCGGGTCGCTGGTGGTCTATATGGGGCTTGAATCTGCAGGTGTAGCCTGAACTTTGAGGGCGCCCAGGCGCACGACGTGGCCGACGTGGTGAAGCAGTACTTCCGGGAGCTACCTGACGCTCTGCTCACCAACAAGCTCAGCGAGACCTTCATAGCGATATTCCAGCGTGAGTATCACATAGTGCATCCAATGGGAAAAGTCGGGACACCGGCAGGTGGTTCATTTCATTACCTTAAGGCAAATTTAGGTTAACTATTTCATACCAAATTACAGTTAAAATCCGCCAAAGTTTCTCTGTTTATCGTATTTATCTTATAACGCATATAATTATAAAATTGAAAAATTTTATATAATTTCTAGAGGCTTGGCTTTAAGTCTGAAAACTGAATGAAAAAGCCATTTCGAGTATTCCTTTTGGCTAATTACATAAATTTGTCTTCTCAGTTGGATTTTGAATTTTAGCTGTCGGGGAGATTTTCTACGAAGACCTTCGTATTCGTAGAACATCTCACATTTGACTTATCAGGACATATTTTTACAAAACGTTATCTAGTCCCAAACTAAGCAACGCTTGTACTCCATAGTATTTATTTACGACAGAATAGTATGTTCATCAGTAACCTTGTATTACTAGGTAACTGATGAAAATACTTAAATATCCTTTTATTTTGTAAATAAATACATATTATAGACTTTATTCATCACACAATATTTTTCGAGTAGTCCTCTATTGGCGTCTGTTGTTTTGCTCATTATTTTTATTTTTATTCCGATCTACGAAACGTCGGGAATTACAAAAACAAAATCAACACGCGCTAAAATCCGTGAACTAGTCTCATTTAAGATGTCAACACTTCATCATCGTTCGTATATTCCATCATCAACAATTTGGCCTACAGACGTGCCGGAGCCACTGCGGCCGGATGCGGTACAGTGCGCGCTCCTTCTCCTACCCGAAGAGCATCTGGAGGCTCTGCACTCGCTTCTCATATTCCTTTCGGAGGTTTGTATTTACACCAACGATATCATACACAAATACGAGGTAGATATGGCACGAGAGCACCGTAACTGATGTACTACAATTACGCCCATTGGTGTAATTAGATTGCAACTCTATAGACTGCCATCTCTTCTCCGTATCGTACGTTCTGTATCATTCACTTATATATGTTGTATAATGTAAAGATGAACAATTTTTAAACAGCGCACAGTATGGACATGCGTCATCAATGTTATTAAACAACATCGATTTACACTATGAGAGTATAGTATAAGTGGAACAATCGAAATTGTCGAATGACACAATATATCAATAATAATTTCGTACAGATACTTAAGGTACAAGCATCTCTACGTGTTGAATACCTACTACTTACTTTTTTAAACTTTAATGTGTCTGCACCACATGACATGTCGTACGGATGGATGATGAAGGAGTGACAAATAGTCACGTAAGAGACACAAACAGTGGATAGCTCAGGCCCATCTGTTTAAATATTGCAGTGCCTTGCCTTTTTTACTGCGTCCTGCTAACCACAAGGTGCCAACAACACTGGCTGTATCTGTATAATAAATATATACCAATTCACATCCCTTTTATTAGTGTCCTAAGTAAATGGATGTGAATTGGTATATGTTATTGAGCGCCATAACATCGTTGAAGTCATTCAAAGCTAGCCTTTCCACGAGCCATGTGCCCGAATACAATCCACATATTTCACAGACTGAAACTGTGAACATCTAATTTACGGTACGGATGATATTGACACAATCGCAATAATAAAACTTTCAGGTTGCTGAACATTCGGCGGTGAATCAAATGACTGCGTCTAACTTAGCGGTCTGTCTGGCGCCGACTTTGCTGAGGCTGCATCACGCGCCTCCTCACACGGGAAGCACCAAAGAGGGAAACTCCAACAGGTGAATGATTATATGGTCCTTTTCAAAGTTACTGGCTCTCTTGATTTGTTGAATTGACGGTCAAGTCAAAGTTAAGATGAAGTATTGAAATTGTAAAAAAAATGGACGAAAAGTTTTTCCGCGCTACGAGAATCGGACTCACGTCTAGCGGATTCGCGCCCAGCCGATTTACAACTTAGCTATTAGTGGTTTGGTGTCTGGCTGGGCATTGCTTTAAATACGACAATATTCAATGTAGATAAAATATGTTGAATTTTCGTGGCTCGACAATCGGCCGTTAAGTTTAAGTTAAGCACTAAGTTAGTGTCTGGGCGCGAATCTCCAAAGCGGATAGAGGAACCTTATTACGAAACGGTGGTAGATTTAAAAAACAAACAATGACAATACATATCAAAAGATGAAATTTATATTACCTAACGGCCAGTTTCAATATTCGATCTCCATATTGATTTTGTTACTGGAGATAGAATTTTGACGTAAGTATTATGGAGCTAATCTCAAATACCTATCGCTAGTAACAAAATCAATCTATAGATAGTATATTGAAACCGGCCTTAAGTCGATGAATAAACGATTTGCATTCACCCGTCACGATGAACCTATCTGTAGATAGAATATTGTAACCGGCCGTAAGTCGATGAATAAACGATTTTGTTCCGCCCGTCAGGATGAACCTCTCTGTAGACAGAATATTGAAACAGGCTGAGGTCGATGAATAAAATTATTTTATTTGCCTTTTAGGATGAACCTATCTGTAGATAGAATGTTGTAACCGGCCGTAAGTAGATGAATAAACGATTTTGATCCGCCCGTCAGGATGATAATCGAGAGCGTGGCGGAGCAGCGGCAGGTGAGCGAGAGCCGGGCGGCACACGCCTGTCTGCTGCTGCTCATAGCCCGCCACCGGCATCTGCTCATGGCGCCCGCGGACATGCTGGCGCGCTGCAAGTTCAACTACTTCGAGGAGAGCGTGCCGGTGAGTGCGACCGGTTCGAATCTTTGTTTTTTTTTTTAAGTAAAACTTATTTACGCTTGACGCGGGTAGTGAGCTGGTGAATGCCTGACGAGAGCGTTACGCAAGGTGTGATCGGGTGAGGCGAACGGTGGTGTCTTTATTATTAATTTATCAATGTAATTGCTTGATTATTAGTTTAACATGAATATCGTTATGTTTATGTTATTTATTTTTTGAATGTTTCTTGCTTTTCAAAATAAAGTGGTCTAATAAAACCCATTATAAATTTATATATTTGTAGAAAATTCAAATATGTCGTGTATGTATTATATACATATTCATATATAAACATATATATGCATACATATAGATGGAGCTAAAGAACTTTTTCTTCAATCGTGTGGTCTAAAGGACACTCGTTTTATACGAGAAGGCAGCAAGCGAGCGGGCGGATCACCCGGTGTAAAGTGACAACCGCATATAGATATTGCAACGCCCGTAGGGTTGCATATGCTTCGCCGCCTTTCAGTAAAGAGGGCCCTGGCTACCTCACTCACCAGAATAGCTAAAAAAGTTCCACTTCACTCCGGTCGTCTGTAAGATCGTACACTTCCCTAGGCGAGCTTGCTCGCGTGATAATCGAAGTGACCATTATTAAAAATTACAGGATTCGTAAGATAATGATATCTTGGTAGAATTGCCTTTTTAAAATTTTTAGTGTTAGCTTTAATTTACACCTATAAAACTATCCTAAAGTCATGAATGCTTTTAATGTTTCAGGTTGCCCTCGAGGAACTGGGCGCTGATTTTAACCAAGACTGGAAGGGGTTCCAGCAAGCGTGCATCAAAGCCTTACTAAAGGAAGCCAAAGAGAAGTGAGCATTAAATCGTACTTGTTCATTACCTCTATGTACATTCAGTTCCAATATAATAATGCTAACATACATATTTCAAATGTGATGGTATGGTTCAAATATTAAGTCAAAACAAAACCGTAATACAAGTCGTGCATTCGTCCTAAATGAATACAAACAAGAATGGGTCGTAGTAAATAACATGATGCTTTAATTAACATCAAATAAAATTAATTAATAAAAGTAAATAACTTAAAAATGATGGAATACTATTGTCTGATGAACCTAACGTACGTTTTACTTTTTACTGTTGTAATACTTAATTATATTATACATATATTTTCCTTTTTCAACTATCTTCAAGTTTTATGTTTCTTTTACTATTAATAATTACTTTGCCTATTGTAGATATGTCAAAAATTTTAAAGCTATTTCCGACTTTCAATTAAAAAATATATAAGGACGTGACAATTGAAGCTCTAGGTACTATGCTACAGTTGTTTTTCTATATATAACTCTTTTGTCTTCTCCAAAAATTCTGCTATAAATATTTTTTCGTGGCTACATTGAAAAATCGCTGGTTCTTATAGTTTTCTTTCGTGCTTTATAGAGTCTGTGGGAGATCGGGAAAGAGGTGAGATCTGGGTGTTAGAGCGATGTTCACATGACCCTGCATTATTCGCATCTTTAGAATTAAATGGACCTAATTAAGGAAATCATGCTTTCGTATTCACGGAACGACCTAAGAAGACTACCTTTTATGACTTTTATTAAAACTCGGCCCTATTTTGACGTCGAAAGCTACATAAAGTATGTATAACATAGTGTATATCGGTCCCTTTCACTCCCCTCCAATCACCGCGTATGTTCATAAGTGGACAAATCTTTATTTGACGTTTCCCAAAAATTGATATTTTTAAATAGGTCATTATAATTTTAAAGGTGCGTATTGTATGTTGGCAAGTGAAAGTTAGTCTCTTCGAATTTTATTTGCGGTTTTTTGATTTTGGAATGTTGTATTGTCGTAAACCAGTTCTTCGCTGAAGATTAAATTTCTATTGTATATAAGACTTTAACTATAAAATATTTATTGGATAAATAATCAGATCATCAAACAACGACATACAATAACTAAAAGGAAGAGCCTAATTTCAGACAGCCTTGGATGTACATGTACCAACTTCGTCGGTACTTTATTGAAAAAATTAATATCTAATTTAAAATTTTTATATATATTTAATTTATATTTAATTATAATTTTATCCCAAAAACTGGTACCTACTTAAATATTTATCATAACTTTTGTTTCTAAATTAAATTGTAGATAAAAGTAAGCAAAATGATATTTACGTCTATAACAAATTACAATTGTTTTATATTCTTTTTGATAAAGTGCCGATAAATTCCTTTAGAGAATGTTCGCTATTTATAGTAGAAGTATTGTGTTTATACGTCAAGTGTTTAAAATGTTTTCACAGAAGTTTAAAGAATAATTGTAAATAAATATTTCGTTGCTTGTCATAATAACTAATTAATTTTAATAGTCAATTTTAAAACCTAATGTTACAACGTGTTAGAAATTTATTAACGCCAATATCGTGGCTTACATCGTTAAGTGAGATTTTTTCTCGGTAGAATTACATAAACTTTGTTTAATAAATATTGATAAAAATATATAATCGTACTTACGAGTAATCTGCATTTAAGAAGTTTTATTATATGCTAACAATGAATTGATTGTAAATGTTGTTTGATCTCTCTCCGTTCCTTTTTGTTCTGTACCACTATTCAAGTATATACGTACATATGCATGTGTTTGAGTAGTGGTGCGTACTCGTACCAAAAAGTATTATATTCTTTAAGTAACATCGAGTACTTTGCTGAATTCAAACGAAAAAAGATATCTTAAGAGTCAAATCCATAACAAAAGCAATAATTAAACGCAATAATTGATTGATATTATCAATCAAATTTAGTTACACAAAAGTAGGTTATAAAACGAAAATTACATCATTATCCATATTTCCCACATTTATGTAGCACGATTGTTGAACACCTCTTTTGTCTCTTTCGTATTCACCCATCCGACCATAACATGTCGAAATACATATCAACAATTCATTGGCATTGGGATTTTTAAAGATATTCCATTCATCTTAATGTTTGCGATTCACTGAATGTTGTACTTTAAATATACAAATTTACCATTTAATTAACTTTCCTATGACCATTGTTAAATGGAAATTATTCTACATTAAATTTTAATCGTTGTATAGGCAATTTTCTTCAATATACAAGATCTAAATATTAACCTATTTTATTAATTCGTTGGATTTGAATTACAGACAACGAATCTTCCTATATCACAAAATTAGTGTAAAGCGTCACAGTCGAACCTTTAAAGAATTTATCTAAACGTTTTATCAATTAAACAAATTTCATCGTGAGGTACCGTTTTGTAGCCAACGCTGATTAAATCGTGTCAGCTGTTAATAAATCCTTCAAAATGGACCGTATGTCGGTGGTGATAAGGTACATATTCGCAGGACCAGGGGCTGGATGTCGGTGTCGGGGGCGGCGGCTCATGTGGAGCTTTGCTGCAAGAAGGTGGGCGACGGGCACCCGTTGAGGTTGTGGCGCGCGACGACAGACGTCGAGGCGCCGCCGCAGGAGGTCATGCAGAGGTGGGTTAGCAACATGCGCGTCGATAACATGCGCGTCGGCATTGTGCGCATCGATAACATGCGCATCAATAACATGTGCGTCAATAACATGCTCATGACTAACATGCGCGTCGGCAATTCGCGAATCGCGCACATGCATGTTGGCATGGCAAATACCAATCCCTCACACAAGACCGGCGTGGAGCTGAGATGTTTTTTTGCGTTTCATACGTTGAGTGTGGAAGCGGTGGGGCGCAATGGCTAAGCCATAGGATTCGGCGGCAGATCTGGGTGTTCGTTCTCAAGAATGATTAACGTCAGATAGCTGGCTGGTATGAAAAACCTAGCCGATACCATTGTATAGAATAAGGACAAGAGAAACAAGAATATTGAGCGCATTTAGCCAAGTTTAACTCTTTTAAAGTTTTTGAACACTAATGTATACTTGATAATATAAGTGCAACTGCCTGCCCAACTGCTTCGCTTAATACAACAACGCCTATTATAATTATTAAATTTGAGTAGCTTCAAAGTACTCAAGGAATCTTAGAAAACCCACTTTAACTTTAAACGATGTATCAAATGTAATGAATTTTGTGATAAGACTTTGTAAATGTAAACATGTTTCATTTCGTATTACAGAATCCTCCGCGAGCGGCACATATGGGACGACACGTTGGTGAAATGGCGAGTGGTGGAGAAGCTAGGGCCCAACGCAGAGGTGTTCCAATACATCACCGCATCCAGCATCAACCTTCCGCCCAGAGACTATTGCGTGCTCAGGTGAGTGCAATTCCTTTTAAACACCTTCTGAGTCTTGCTAATAGGCTTGATATGAATTAGACTCGTCTCTTGCATTGGATGAGGAAAATTAAATCAAAACTACAATTTGACAAGCTTTCAATCGCAGCCTATATTAAGTTCTTTCTTTTGTTATTAGAAGGTGTCAAGCGAGCGGTTCACCTAATGTTAAGTAATGACCACTGCCCACGGACATCTGCAATACGCATGGGGGTGTACCCTTGGTACTTCTCTGCACGAGCCTACCTATTCGCACAACTAGAACTAGCTGCAGATTATGTGCATGTCTAGGCTTAAATCACTTACTGTCATGTGAACCGTATTCACGTGAACTCGCTAACAAACTATAGTTACATTAATATGTTACAAAAATATGTTAAGTATGTTACAATTATAGTATAAGTATATACAAGTATATTACAATAATATGTTAAGTAACAAAAATGCATAGAAGATAAACTTGTTATATAGCAAAACGGGAACGCGGACAGCGTAAACTGTTCATTCGATACACACTGTACATCTCTGTTCCGCCACCGTACGTCGTATCGTTCCTCTCTCTCGCGCAACGAAATCCGCCTTAACGCCTTTGCCGTCCACCCTCGCAGGTCGTGGCAGCAGGGCGGCGGCGGCGGCGGCGGCGGCGGGTGGTGCGCGGTGGCGGAGACGTCGGTGGCGCACGCGGCGGCGCCGGGCGGCGGGGGCGCGCGCGGCGTGGTGCTCGCCTCGCGCTACCTCGCGCAGCCGGCGGGCAAGGGGCGCAGCCGCCTCGTGCACCTCGCGCGCGTCGACACCATGTGAGCGCCGCCTCTTTCGCCCCTTTCGCCCCTCGCCAGCGCTAGCACTCGGCACGTGTGGCCGTGTTTTTATGTTGTAGCACCTCTCGCATGACGACCCATTCTGAGCGCCGCCTCTTTCGCCTCTTACTGGCGTTAACACTCGGCATGTGATGCCGTCTGTTTTGATGTTGTAGCAATCGCGCGCGACGACACGTTGTGAGCACCGCCTCTTTCGCTTCTTACTAGCGAATTTTTTCAAAACATTTTAGTGAAATATATATATATAATTATATATATATATATATATATATATATATATATATATATAATGATATATAACATGACAATAAATGAACACGCATATAGGGGATAACTTTTTAAAGTTGTATTAAACATTTAAATTCTTTAAACATCAATGTTTACAGAGTTATTAAATTTTCCAAAACAAAGAATTTTAGAACACCATTACCTATAAAAGCGTAACGTAAAGTTCATTTGTAAAGGTCACAAAGCATATGAATGGGTTGAATGAAATTAAAAGAGACAAAACATACTGTTAGAAGGAGAGGCTTAGTGACGACGCTGTGGCGCGAGTTGTATAGGATGTTACAAATTTTGTTTCTTTTTTACTTAATAAGTTTGATAAAAAAAAATTTAATTATGGATTTTGTTTAATGTTAATATATTTTTATGCTTATTGGCAAGTAGCGTTAGACGTGTGTTCATTTATTGTCGCGATGGTAACGACACGCTGTATAAAATCTTATATGAATTCTGTATGAATATAGTGTAAAGTGTATGTCACTGAAATCCTCTTAAAACGGCTGGACCGATTTTAATGAAATTTTGTGTCTTCAGGTCGTCATTTTTTTTTATTTATAAGTTCTTTTCGGATTTCGGTCACATTTTCATACGTACATTTGTATACGAACTAACCCGACTTGTTTCCAGGGGTCGAACACCCGAGTGGTACAACAAATGCTACGGCCACATCTGCGCCCTCTACCTGGCCCGCATCCGCGCTTCCTTCAAGCACAACACAGAGGGCCCCGAGTCGAATGTATGATCCAAACATTCCACTTAAGCCGTGGACACACCGGACACGGTTTAAGTACGACGCACGGCGGCGTGTGCGCGGCCTTAGTTCGTTTCTAAGGCAAACGCTAAAAACCGCGAAAATATTAGAACATAAGTCATCGGAAGCTGAATGAAGAAATCACAAGCCGTTAACCTAGAGTTATAGTTTAAAAATGTCATCGGAACAACAAAATATACATTGGATGTGACCAAATTTCTTTATCTTTAAACTATAGTCATATTCGAGTGTAAATATTTATCGGGGATAATAAAGGCATAATTTGGATTAAATAAATTACTTATTAGGTTAAAAGAAAATTCACTACCTACCTCTGTAATTAAATGTTTATATTAAATCCTATTTTAAAATCCCGAAATGGGATCTACCAAAAAACCTGACTGCTTTTATCGTGAAGTTAGTTTGTTAGGTTAGTTTATATTTGAATACCGTTAAACTTTAGACCCTTTTAAGGTGCATTGTGGATATTATTAAGGTAATGCTTCTTTATTATTAACATCACAGTAATTTTAAGTATGTGATATCGGTATCGATATTGTGTATACAAAATGTGTAATCTCATTTCGGCGCGAATATGTTTTACCACAGATGATATAAAGTTATCATAACATATCACTAGTCATATATATGGATATAATTTTCAATAAAGCACATAATAACCGTACCTGTCCTGTGTTCAGGAATTTTAATAGTATTATATTTTAGAAAATAATATATATATATACTTATATATTCGATTGATGCAACAATATAAATGATAATTAATGCGGTAATTGGCCACTGTGGGCCACGAATTGCAAATGCAAGAGGTAAATATCATTAGTGTCTTAGGTTTGTTTGTAAAAAGTCTGATTTGTAAATATTTAGATAGATTGTAATTTTTATTAATGCTATCCCAATTTTATTGTAGCTTTATTAACAGTTGTATGAGGTGTCTGTTATGACATTTACATAAAAACATAAATTATATAAATATAAATGATTTATCGAGAAACATTTATAAAAATTAGATATTTTGATATTATAATAATAAATATATTTTCACAAAATTTACCGATTTATTTACCAATGTTGAATTTTGGCCAAATGCTATTGGCCAAAAGATAGTTTATCGTTAAGACACTTCATACAAATATTTTTAATAAAATTCCTCTTTGGAAAATCAATTTTAAGCCAAATATCACAAAAATAAGATTATATCGGAAAAATTGTAAATAAATGAAAAAATATGATATATACGGAGAGAATGTAATCTCATATTTATGTGTTGTTAGTTACCTGAGAAATCACAAATATAACTTTGGTGCCGTCATTTATGTTCAAGTAAACAAATAATTTTTAGAAGAAGAAGAAGAAGCACACAACTTTCTTTTAGACCTAATAATACTTGGCTTCGTTAATTCAGTGCTTTTAATGAAAACTATTATTTATATAAATGATGAAACAATAATCAATTATTAAAATATATCGTATTACAAAAAATATTACAAATACCCGTTCCCGTTGTATAAATAATGATGTTCATAACCCTGACCGTTATATTAACTTGTGGGTTGCGGAAAGGGATCTTGCAATACTCAACTCGATTAAAAGCATATTATAGAATACTAAGACGTTATATTTAAACATTACTGTTCAATTACTTAACACACGTTTAAGTAAGAAATGTAAGATTTTAATTATGCGACGTTGAAGAATAATTAAGTCATTCCATTTTTAAAATGCATGATACAATCTTTAAAAAAGAATAGTAGTGGATGTTATATTATGAATACCAATTTTCAAGTCAGTACTTTCAATATTATTATAATTCGATGTTTGTAATTCAATGCACTTTATATCTATTAAATGAACTGGTATTTATGCGTAGATTAAATGATGTTCACCGTTAATACTCCATAATGTCTGTTTTATTGTGTAAAGTAACTAAACTAATGCATTGTGATTTTATTCTCTATTGATTATATGGACCATTATAAGTGATGAATCTTATCAGGTTTTTTATTTTACCACCTGCCTCATTAACCCAAGTTATATTTATAAAAATATTGTTCTGGAACGAAATCCCCATCCTCTGGTGGCTTAACACCGCTTACGCTGTTAGTTATCCACCGACCTAATGCAACCGTTCCGAAATTACTATTTTTTTTTATATAAATATAAATAAATAGCTTAGCTTTTGACATTAGCTCCTAAATACTTAGGTACGTCAAAACTCTATCTCTAGTAACCAAATCCATCTCAAAGATGGAACATTGAAACCTGTAAAATCTTAGTGGGGGTTTAAGGATAGGAAATGATATTTGTGATTTTTTTGTGAAAATTGACCTATAGAATGGAATCTTATTTTTAAAAGGCAAATTGCTAATGCCACTGCTGAATATCAACCTGAATTGAAGAAGACTTTAAAAACCGGCCAATTGTAAGTCCGAGTCGCGCACGAAGAGTTCCGTACCATCTATAAAAACGGCAAAAAGATTCATGTCTGTTGTATGGGAGCCCCATTAAAATTCCTTTTTTTTTATTTAAATAAAAAAAACAGTATTTGTTGTTATAGCGGCAACAGAAATACATCATCTGTGAAAATTTCAAAGGTCTAACTATCTTGGTTCATGAGATACAGCCTGTTGAAAGACGGACAGACAGACAGACAGACAGGGAAGTCTTAGTTAAGGGTCCCGTTTTACCTATTAGTTACGGAACCCTAAAAACTGCCAAATAAGAAAAAAAATGCTAAAATGAAATAAAATCTTTAAACCCTCGCCTTAGCCTGACGATAATAATTAATAAATATTGCCAAAAACTTTAGTAAAATTATTATTAATACTATTTTTTAAATTTTTGTATTTTATTCTGTCACCTAGGCACGCATCCCCTATAATCCCATTTAAATTACCATTTCATATTCATGGTTTCTGTATTCGCGACATGTTTACGGAAAAAATACCCCGCGAATAAAGAGCACAGAAGATATATACGCTAAGGAGTCTAGTTACTGTAACAATGACTTAAAGAAGAACTAACATTATCTATAAATATTGACTTGAAGTCGTTAAAAGAAAGCCAGATACATTATTTTGAATGGAATATAAAATATTCCATTCAAAAATATAATATTCTGTGTCAGGTTTGGCACTGTATACTAATTTGTTCGGTCGTTATTTAAAGTAGAAAAACATTACTCATTGATGATTTTTCTATGATACAAAAAAGTACACAAACTCTTTTTTGAGTTAAACTTGAAGACAATGGTCACGAAATACTGAAACAGTTACGTCCATACGAAAGACCAGAAACAATTATAATGACTACGAATACAGCAAAATAAATGTGTGCGTTAATTATAAGGTATTGGAAATTAACTTTATAGCAAACATTTTTGTATACAAATAAATCAAAAGGCAGTGTGTGCTCTATTCATGCGAAACCCTTAAAAAATAGAGATCGACATTTAAATGTGTATGTAAAATGTTCAAAAAATTGCATCAGCCTTTCTCCGTGCTTCGATCGACGCAACGCTTGGGCTTGGAGTGTGAGTGAGGTTCGTAATTTGACCTAGAAAAATAACTCGACCGACATAAAGTTTTCATCTAAGAATCAAACGGATTTTGTTGCCAAACCTTGACTACAACGGGTTGATTAGAAATTGAAGAATAATAATAAAACCCTGCGCTGGTTACACTTTTACCTTCGTTTAATTAAATTTGTGTCGCGTAAAACGAAACTGAGAAACTGCATATTGGGGGGAAATCGTTTGATAGAGAACGATCATCGGCGGATTGAATGTAATTCTATCTCGTTTCTTCCCATTGCGTTGAAACGAAACAAAACAAGCCACCAGCCAGTCGGTCGTCCTCGCTCTCTCGACGCCACCGTCCGGTCCGCCGTCCGCCGCCAGTCAACAATCGAACGCAACGATGGAAAGGTTTATATTACGGAACTTTTATTTTTTATAGTGTAGATTTAATTGGAATCGCGTATTTAAATACCCACAATGAAGCGGAAGTAAAAAAGCTAAGTGATTCAAATATGTATAAGTAAATGACATAAAACGGCCAAGTTCATTTATTTTAGTACAATTTCGTGTTTAAAAATTTCTCAATCGTGCTGCTGAAATTCCAAAGAAAGTCGACAAATTTTCACAAGAACACGAAATTTCAACGAAAGCCATGGAGAATCCGACAGAGATTAATCATTCCGGAGCTATATCAAGAATACCAATAAAAGTTGAAAATGACGAACTGACCAGGAAGGAACCCGTTTGGGTGTTCGGTTACGGATCATTGTGCTGGAACCCTGGATTTGAATACCAGCAGTGCGTCACGGGATACGTAAAGGGGTTTTCTAGAAGATTTTGGCAAGGCAACACAACTCATCGGGGAACTGAATCCAAGGTAACTGCATTATTATCAGTTCTTGAACTACTTCCACACGGATGTGGTACATATTAGTCTCTGTCTTAAATATAAAAAAGTAAACAAATCATATGCACATATTTTAAATAGCGTTCTTTTTATCTGAGTAAATATACACTAGTTAAAATGTAAGTGATATAGTAACAATTGTCATTTGTGTTAAACAAACGAATGGCTATTTTGTAACAAGGGCATGTTCGCTTGATGAATGATAATAATTATAAATGTAATATTGAAAAACCGTTAAGGTAAGTATATGCATTTACAAAATATGTCGGTTATATGACTAAAATGAATTATATGGCTAATTAAATATACACTTATTTTTTCACTAACACACATAGTTAAATAATACAAAGAATAGAGACTCATTAATTCTCAATGCTGTATTCTTCATTCATCTACTATTAGTCCCAAAACAATACATAACTGAATAATTATTTTTATTTATTATCTTGCTATTAGATATTAAGTTTTCTTCATCAATTAAATGCAATTTTTCTCAAATTTTATAAAAGGGTGTACTTTAAATGTGTTATCATTGTAAATATAATCTTTTTAATGCAAAAAGAGCAATAGGATAATGATAAAGAGCATGCATTTTTACACCTGCTGGTATATGTGTAATCCTGTTAAATATTCTTCAAAGGGGAAAGAAAAATACAAATTTGACACTATATTATTGTCTTATTTGTAAACCACTCAAAAATGTGTATGAAACAAATCATTTAAAACTTAGAAACTAGATTGTAAATGTTATGTATGCCTATAATAGACGTAAATATAAGAACAAAACCTGTAACTAAAAAAAATATATGTATATACAGCGTGTCATTCCATCGCGACAATAAATGAACACACATATAGGGGATAACTTTTTAAAGTTGTATTAAACATTTAAATTCTTTAAACATCAATATTTACAGAGTTATTAAATTTTCCAAAAAAAAGAATTTTAAAACATCGTTACCTATAAAAGCGTAACGTAAAGTTCATTTATAAAGGTCACAAAGCATATGAACGGGTTGAATGAATTTAAAAGAGACAAAAGCATATGAACGGGTTGAATGAATTTAAAAGAGACAAAAGCATATGAACGGGTTGAATGAATTTAAAAGAGACAAAACATACTGTTAGAAAGAGAGGCTTGTAATGCGACGCTATGGCGCGAGTTGTATAGGATGTTACAAATTTTGTTTCTTTTTTACTTAATTAGTTTGTTTGAAAAATGTTTTTTTTTTTTAATTATGGATTTTGTTTAACGTTAATATTTTTTTATGATTATTGGCAAGTAGCATTAGACGTGTGTTCATTTATTGTCGCGATGGTAACGACACTCTGTATAAATGTAAGTATATGTTATGCTGTTCATGTACCTTAATAAATAAATAAATTAAGAACACAAAAAAAAACAAACAGCATTAAATGTATAAATCTTTATACATGCATACACCTACATGGCATGGCATAAAGATTTCTATCTACAGGGAGAAGATATGACTCAAGTTGGCTATCAGAGATTATTATGTTCGAGAGTATGGTATATCTCAGAGATTATTATAAATAAACTTAACACATCTTAAATTTAGTGTAATGGACAAAGCTTACAACTTCATAGAATTTTGATTATTATAATAGTCTTACATAAAACTTTAAACCCATTAAAACCTTTGTGTTGTGAACCATAAACAACTCTCAATCTATAAAAGTTTGATATTAAAAGATAGGCGAAGAAGACATACCACATTATTGAAATAGGTTTATATTATTTAAAACAGATCTTAGACATATATGACTTCAGAACTATAATAACGCTATTAAATATTATATCAATACAAATTCAAGGCATCCATAAATTTTATGGCTCCTTTAAGCAGTATAAACTTATTTATGGGCCCCTAAGTGTGCATAATATTTGAATACTTTCTCATGTTTCTCCAAACACTTTTTTTACTGTGAACCTTTGGGACAATTTGGCTAAAAATTTTCTGGCAGCATTCCATTTTTACCCAATGCACTTGCTAATTTCATATTGTTTTCATGTTATGTCACTCATTGAATAACAGAATACCATTTAAATTCTACATTTTCATGTAATAATTTGCGAAACAAACACTTCCTTTCCTAGGTTACTGCTACAAGTATGTAATCAATGATTACTATATATACCAAATATTAGGTACTTCAGTTGTTATGTGTTGTCTTATCTTAAACTAATATAAATAATACAATAAAAATATACGTAAATAAGTGAATAAAGTTGCGAGAATCAGTGTCGTAAGTGAATCTTATAGGGTTTCTATAGTAATGGGATAGTGTATATACAAATCGCCCTATTGCGAGTTTTGCTTACGCAAATAGAAGAAAGCGAGACGCTTCGGCGAAAAATATTTATGGGAGCGGACGTTAATGTGACGTACGCACGTGGAAAACTACAGCTATATGTATATGCAGCAGGTGCCGTGTCTCCGCATGTATTTTGGGCACGAATTAGCATGTCGTAGAAACCGTATTTTATAAATACCCGGAAGTCATGACAAATCGGACGGCGGAACTTTGGTTCGTTCTCGGCATCAGAATATACGTCACTGTTATTGCAAAAGTTCGCGAGCCTTTCAAGTGTACGAGTAGTAGATGTCCACGGGCGACAGTATTCACTTAAAATAAGGTGAAACTATGCACATGAAGCTGAATTCTTAAAATTGTCTTTTTCTTCAGCCTTTATAGCGGTAAGTTTCAAAGTTCTTTATGTATTGAACTTAACAATTTACCCGCAAAATGATTTATACTTACCATGGATGAACCGGGTAATGGTATTATTACCCGGATCAGTCTATTAACCCGTAGGGACCACTTTGTGAAAGTTAAGACTGTTGATTTTCCGATGCTAAGCAAGCAGAGGGCGATCGAGATGTCGGGAAAATCGCTACGAGGAGATTTTTAAACAGTGAACTCTGTACGAAATTTTGCTTAAATTAACAATTATCGCTTCTACGTAACGTTAAAGCAATAACGCAGAAATTAATAGACTGACTGAGCTAATGCATTTAACATCATTACATGTTTGAATACCATCGTTTGTGATAGTACATTGATTTCTTATGTTTAAACGATTACTGTACATGTTTAAATTAAACTAGGTGTTCTACGGAATTTATAAAAAATTTATTTAGATTTTAAACACCCGACGTTTCGAACACTTCCATGGGAAAGTCGGACTGGGCGTTTTAAATCTCGGGAATTTAAAATCAAAATTAAAACGCGGAAGAGTCCGTAAAATAGTTTCAGTTAACTAGGTTACATAGTAATAGGGCACTGGCCGGTTAATGGGTTAAAAATAAAAACAAATATATTAATTCAAAAATAGTTCCTAATGCCAGAGAAAATGTAATCACTACGTTTTACGTGGCCCATGCAGGATTTATTTCCTAGTGCTGTATGTCTGTTTCATCATCATCATCATCATCATCATCATCATAAGACGCAAGACGTCCACTGTTGAACATAGGCCTCCCACTTAGAACGCCACAACGAACGACACTTTGCCATTTGCATCCACCGGTTGCCCGCGACTCTAAAGGCCCATTTACACGATGCCAGTTTCTTGTACATACAAGAGCAATAATTGAATGCAATAATTGCGCGCAATAATTTGTTAGACCATTTGCATTGCTTCAATTTATTGGAAACTTGCACCGCGACTCTTATGATGTCGTCGGTCCACCTAGAGGGAGGGCCTTCCAACGCTACGTCTTTCTGTTCGTCGGTACCTTTACTCCCAATCGTCGTCAGTACACTTGCAGATCTGGAGTCTGTTTAATTATTTGGGTTCTTAAAAACATTGCTAATAGTGGTGACATGGCATTTTTATTTTAGTTGTGTAGATCTTGTGAAAGAATGCCGTCCCCAATTTATTTATCTTAATCCCGTCTTATAATAATTAATGACGGTATTATTTATGATAACGTCGAGACGGTTACTACATGAGATATGCTATTATTGTTCCGAATTAATTGATTATTGTATTATTATTATTAATTTTGAATCAACGATACAGCTTCTCGTAAATCGAGGGTAACTCCTTTTAATAACGTAGATAGCTTTTAGTTATTTAGTGACGGGTAAAATTGGTATATTTGGCTACTTTTCCAAACTAAACTTTCCTGTTTTTGGAACTACCCATCACTGTGTAAAACTAATTTGATTGTTTTTTTTTTTTTCAGCCGGGTCGAGTCGCAACACTCATAGAAGACAATGAGGTGAGTGTGCATTTAAATCTAAACGCATTTCTATATTCAATCAGCGTGAGACGATATGAGTGTTAGAAAAAATATGTTTTTTTTATGTGAAAAGTTGCCAAGCGAGCAGACGGTTCACCTGATATTAAGTGAATACCGCCGCCCATGGACATCTGCTACACCCGAGGGTTCCAGATGCGTTGACAGCCTTTTCAAAATTGGGCACCGGCCACCTCACTCACCGGACGAAACGCGAAAGTGTCATACTTCCACTTTACACAGGTCTTCTGCAAGGTCGTGGTACTTATCCGGACGAGCCTGCCTACGTGCAACAGCCGAGGCTGCTGCGTGGCCTTACCAACGTCAAATCAACTTATTCTATTTATTTTAGAGCACAACTTTCGTTCGCTTACAATTAGCTTTACGAGCACAGCGACTTACAGATCTTCAACTTTTAATTACCAATGTACTCATAATGCCTACCTTAGAGCTGTCATTCATAACTAACACGCACACAAGTTCGTGAACAGTAAAATTGAGGGTATTTATGAATGACTACCGCATTGTCAACACGTTCTGTTTTTTAGTGAATAGAATCGCATTTTTTTTTTTTTTTTTTCAAAAAAAACTTTGTTTTATATTTCAATAAACGATTATACTACCGAGTCTGAACCTCCTGTGTAAATTTAGGCACTTCTCAAAAAATCTCCCTGTATATGTGTGTGTCAAACTTTAGTGTATATGTACATTTAGTGTATTGGCATGTTTTTGGGGTATCATTCATACCCAAAGAGTAAGGTCTGTCTTTATGTCCGTCTGTCACCAGTCTTTATCTCATGAACGTGATTTCTGTTGCCGCTATATCAACAAATACTTACAAATATTTAGGTGGGGCTCCCGTATAATATATATGATTTATTGACGTTTTCATAGATAATGGTATAGAACCCTTCGTGCGTGAGTCCGACTCGCATACTGGACGGTTTTACAAACATACAAGACAGTATTATCGCACATAATTTATATAATCGAACTATAAACCTCAGGTAAATAGTCAGTAGAGTAATACTCTGAAACCGTTGTCTTACTATTGAGATTTCAGATTTCCAAAGTTCCGAGTGGTTAATTTCGGACGTTCTTTTTGTATAGCAATTTGTGGTGGCTCGTAGGCGTCTAATTCGAGGGTTTCTAAATCGCCTCTTGGGCCACACCTTATTGACCCGATTTCTTTCGTCCAAATCGATTATATCTATTTCGGTTTATGATGCTGTTGCTTTCTTCACAGCTAAATAATGTTGCAATGTTACAATTATTGCAGACCGATTGTCGCCAAATGTTTTAATCGTAAACCTTTGTCGGTTTTAAATCGCGTCCCTTCTTTTTGTAAATTTCTCAATTTAAAAGTTTAATGTGCGACTGCTGTGCGTTTCATATTTTAGTTTTTAACGTTTTCTGATCGAACTACAAAATTTAAATTAAGTACGAGTATCTATTACATATAATAGCTAATCGCACAATGGATACTTATAGCAGGGTTTATTATATACCACACAATATATTGAACAACTTTATTTAAACCAAGTCATCTTTACATACAAATGTTTTTATAAAGGTAGTTTTATAAATTTAAAATAACTTTATTCATGGAAAACCAAAATTATTATATGCGAAAGACATTTAAATCGTACTTAAGTTTTGTGACTGCATGGTATGCACAATTTTTTGTGGTCTTGTATATTATCGCTTTCCGTCTTTGTGGCTGTGTAAACCGTCATCTGACAAAGTTACCGTAGAATGGTTGGCAGTGCCTAAGAGATTGCTAACACCCTATAAGTAAAGAATAGTAACACCCTTTAAGTGCCACTGCTGGGCAAAGACCTCTGGACAAAGAGGGCTATTAGGGCAGGTCCACGTGACCCTCGGCGAATCTGGCAGACTTCATATATCTTTGAATGCGACCCGCCCCGGCTCCGCACGAGTGCAATGTATTATACATATAAACCTTCCTCTTGAATCGCTCTATCTAGTAAAAAAAACCGCATCAAGATCCGTTGCGCAATTTTAAAAATCTAAGCATACATAGGGACAGAAAGCGGGACGACTTTATTTTATAGTATGTAGTGATTCACTCTTCGGGATTTCGCATTTCCAAAGCGGGGAATGTCGTTCATTTCGGACGTTCTATTTTCGTAATTGACAATTTGTGGCGGCACGGAGGCGTCCAATTCGATCGTTTCTAATCTACCACTTTGGCCATACCGCATTGACCCAATTCCTTTCGTCCAAATCGATTATTCCTATTCCATTTTATGATGCTGTTGCTTTCTTCACAGCAAAAATATTGTAGTAACTTTGTTAAAATTGCATATAGTTCTCAGAGCGTACTTTTGGTGGATATTTTCGCCTCGGAGATCTTGTATTGCTTATCACGATGTTTTTCTTCACCGCTGAGGACGTTAGTAGTCAGCACTAAAAATCGCAATAAACAATTATTAGGCAAATTTAAAGCGAGCGCCCGGAAACTGAGCTAGCACGGCTCTTTAAGTACGTAGGATGAAACGGCACAGGTGAACGTTTCTAGCTATTTTACGCTAAAGTGTAAAATATTACTCGGACGCAAAATGAACGATGTATTTTATACGGCGTTAATGCGATAAGAGCGTAAAATATTACGCAGTATATTTAGCATACATGTGTACATAGCATACAAAAATAGCTTACACTTTGCACGTGGTGGTTTTATTGTATTGCGCGGGAATTTAAAATATGTCCTGGTAACTTTATTCACACACCGAATTATACACGAGTCGCCTATTTGCATCCTTATTATTATATCATATTTCTTATCGCGTTTGCATGCATTTTGTACTGACACGAGGCGCTTCTAAACATCGCAATTAATCTCCCCTTCTAGAACGTCCGCACTTTATGCGAGTTCTGTTTTCTTTATAGTACTATGCTAGTTTATGTAATAGATTATCTTTCCTTGTTAATACAAAGTTAAAGTTCGATGAGTTTTTTTGTTTTAATCCACTTAAAAACCTCCAAAATTTTAGTACAGTTAATAGGAACATTTAGAACATTTTCAAGCCCGCAATTATAGGAGCTCGTACCTTGTATTATACTTTATATTAGTACTACTAAGCTTACTTACGGCACTGTCATGCACCAAGAATTTTTCCAGTCCTCCGTTTCTGTACGTGTAACAATACTTCGTCAAATGATCACACCTGTCTGGTCGCGTTTCGGTATTAAAAAAACGCAAGCATAAGTTATGTCTCCGTTAGATTTTAGAGATATAAGTACTTTTAGTTTCCGATTTTCGTAGTTTAATATTTACGTTCTTTTCCTTCGTAGTTTTCGTCAGTTTTAAACTTTCGGTTACACGTGTTTGTTTACGTAAAAAACAAACCTGATCGATTTTTTAGTTACAACTCACGGTCTGTCTGTCAGTCTGCCTGAATACAGGACAGTGATATGTTATCTGGACAGGCCTGGAGCAAATTACGACATCGTTTTGCTGAACTTTGCTCTTGCTTGTCCTATAGTGTTCTATATTAATTTCGTACTTTTTTTGAGTAGAAGTATTTTAACCGACTTCAAAGAAGTAGGTTCCCAATTCAGTTGAATGCTTTTTTTTTGTATGTTACCTCAGAACTCTGTCGTTTATAAACCGATTTTAAAAATTATTTTTGCATTGGGTTTGGATTAACTCCCATGTGGTTCAGTATTACCACACTTACACGAGTAGATTCTTTGTTTTTCGACTTTAGACTTCGGAGACACGTCAGGAAACTCCTCTAAACCAAAATGAAAATGTGTAGTGAATAAGATATTTCAAGTCGGTTTTTTGTTACTGAATATGTTTTGTTTATGCTTTATCGCAAAAGCTTCTTATCGGTTGTACTTATGACAAGTTTTAGTATCTGTTATGTTGGTACATTATTATATTTTGTTTGACATATAAATAAACAATGTAAACATTACCCGCCAAATCTCGTCTTGTCATTGTCTCATTCTTCCGATGTGTTCCGTTTTTAAATTACTAATTGTTGTTTTTTTTTCGGGCCAATGACGGCCATTATTTATCTGTTCTTTCTACGAACGGCCAGTGAAGTTTTATTTCGCATTATCATTGACCTCGTTCCGAGCGAAGCTTGTGCTGAAACTGCTCTCCTTTGGAACTGTTTCAATTGTTGGAGAAATGCGGCTTGACACTGTCAACTTTTTTCTTTTTTAATTCGAAACGCCGGGAATTGAAACGAAAATCGAACGCTGAAAATTAGTAGGCGTGTAGAAAATGTGTAGTTCCCGGTTTTATGTGAAAAGGTGGTAAACGTGCTGGCGGTTCTTCTGATGTGAAGTGATAACTGCTGCCCATTAACATTTGCAACATCCATAACCTTTTAACGAAGTGGACCTCGGCTGCCTTACTCCCGCAGACTATCACTTCACGCCAGTCTTCTGTGAGGTGATGGTACTTACCCGCACGGACCTGCCCATGCGTGCAACAGCGAGGGTTGCTGCGTGGTCCTACCACAGTATAACTAGTGTTCGCGTAAATGCAAGAAATCATAATGTCCGTTCCTTTTATTATTTTTTTTTTAAACGTTTAGCTTTAAAGGTTAATACGGTGAATCAAACGATCCAGTCCCATGTGTATCGGTCGCTGAGAGTGGATTGCACAAATGGATCCAAATTGCATCCGGTGATTTGCGAATTGAAGTAGTCGGTGCGAAGCGGCGGGGTCTTGTTGTGAACAGCTTCGCGTTTATCTTTATATATATATAGACGTACAAAGAATTGTATATATATACAATTCTTCTGTACGTGTGTATGTCACTGAACTCCTAAACGGCTGGACCGATTCTAATGATTCTTTTTTGTGTGTCTTCAGGTCTATTCGAAAGTGGTTTAGATGCACAATTTTTTTAAGTTATCGGATTTAAGTCGTCTGTAACTGAACTCTTGGGATTAACCCGTGAAACGTTCTATGTAGTTGAACCATTCGGCGGTTTCCG